AAAATGAACGGGATACTTTCCTGGGGTGGGGAGGAGGAGCTGAAGCAGCTGAAGAGAGGAGAGGAGAGATGGGCAGAGCCACTGAAGACACAGCAGGTGGTTGTGAGACTGATGGGGCACAGTGAGAGGTGACCTCCCTGAACAAACCAGGCTGGTGCCTGCTTGTGCACCATGCCATGCAGCTGGCCCTGCTCTCATCCAGTACGTGCTGCCATCGTGCACCAAGCAGAACTTCCTCCCCTTGAGCATCCCTGTGTCACATCTGCCAGCTGTTGGTAATGGGGACCCGTCTTTCTGTGCCAATCTTGCTCATGCAAGAGGAATGACACACTCATGCTGAAAGGGGTGCAATGAAAATATCAAATAGAACCCATCAGTGAAACAGGGAGAATTTAAAGCGAGAATTTAAAGCAAAAATTTAGGCCTTAGCCTGGTGATACCCAGAAGTAAGCTACCACTCTAACTTTCTTGGCCTGCTATCTAGGAAGGGACCTTCATCTGTCAAGTCATCTGTAAAGTGGAATAGATTTTACTGTCTAAATGATATCAGCATTTAGATGACAGTTCATTCAAAATGGAGGGAGCCATCCAACTGCCTGAAGACAAAAAGGGAAAGGCTGTTTTAGCCCACTTCATGGAAAGCCATTACTGAATATCTTTGCTATTAACTATGTGATTATAATGTCAAAAGGGGGGTGCAGAAGATCTGCTTTGGGCAGATTTACACAAAAGTAGAGCTGGGGGAAAGAGATAAAAAACCAAAGAAGAATAAAGTTAAGTATTAGGACAGCAGGAGCCCATCCACGTTTGCTCAGAAAAGGAAGCTCAGGAATATGATCTTGAGCAATGTAAATGCTTCCCACACCCACTATGGCAATGCAGGCTAGACTCCATACAACAGAGTTATTCTTTAATGGACTTAAATTGATATCAATTAGGCAGTAAAAAGGAGAGCCTGACTGCTAAGCTGTGCTTCAGCCTGTTTCTCAAAGTCACTTGCTGGATGGTTTTAGAGGTTTGGTTGGTGTTGTAAACCCCAATGCCGGTGAAAGGGGCTGATGTGATCACTCAGCTTTATTCCTCTTGAAATTACCAAACACAAAGTTAGACAGAGCAAACTGGCCTTGCCCAAAACATGCTGCTCTTCTCTTATTTAAATTCTCACTAAAACTGCTGGACTTCTGCAATAGTCTACTTCACTCTGAACTTTCATCAGCTAATTTAAATAAGGAGAAACTATGTTTCTGGCATTTACTCTGCCACTGCACCCTGCCTCTGAGTGGTTCTGCACATCTCTGGTAGCTAGTCCCTCCCCATGGGAGTCAGGGAGCCCAGGAGCAGGTAAGTGGCAATTACAGACAGGTGAGGAAGGAGTGGGATTTCAACTACTGACGAAGGGGGCAAAACTAGACGTCAGGCAAGGGACTTAGAGGGAGAGAAGGCAAATAGAGCAGACCAAAGAGAGGGCTGGATGGTGGCTTTTCTTGGGAACGCAGGGCAGGAGGTCGGGGTCTCTCTGGGAGAAAAGGGTGGTATAAACATCTGTATGTCACAGGGAAACAAGGCAGACAGCAAAGGAGGTGTAGGAACAGGGGATGAGCACTGGGCTGGACAGCAGCAGGAGTGGGATAGAAAGCAAGGACAAGAACAAGGACAGTGAAATGACTGGTGGCTGCTCTTCCTTTTGAGAATTTCTCTCCACAGAAGGCATATGTATCAGAGTGAGTATTTAGGAGAGGCAAGGCTTATTTCATCCTTAATTAGGCTTACTCACACTACACAAGTCTCTGGGCTTACCAAGGAGCTGAGATATACAGTACTATTCAGTATATTCAATCTATCAGACTGCCATTTTTATATAGCAGTTTATACAGGTCAGAGCCTTTCATAAGCCACCCAATGTCCTGAAAATTTGTCATTAAATTGAATTAAGAGACAGGTCTTTCTATAGTTCTTCTGATAAAGTGGTTTAAATCAGGTAAAAAAAAAAAAAGAGAGAGGCTCTTGAAGAAACAGGAGTCACACATGATAAATGAAAAAGGAACAAATCACAGGTCCCAGTATTATCTGTCTCAGAACTCTGAGGGAAATGATGGAGCTTGTAACAAAATCATGCTGTTAATAAAATTGGTTATGAGACTGGAGTGCTGTATATCTATGAGTCAATAGCTAAAAACAAAGGGAGCATGTTAGAGAATATCTTTAAAATGAAATTACACCTTTGCTCATGTCACGGTATCTCCATGAGGACTGTCTGGATTCTGCAACTGGTTCCTCCTAAGAATGATTGCTTTTACTTGGAAAAAAAAAGGCAAGATGGTATTTGTAAAGTATGCCTTGAGACAGAATTCTGCAGTCCTGCGGCTGAGTGGCTGTTTTCCTCTACAGCAGCAACGCTGGATTTAAACAGGAGAGGGCAGTCATGACCAAGCATCCGAGTGTGCTGAGGCATTTCTGTTTCTGGAAGGGAGACATTTGAAAAAGGTATTTTTTTTTTTTTTAATGATTAATAAAGGTTCATCATCCAAAAATAAATCTTTTCTAGACATCATGTATCAAGTGTAGTATAAATAATTACAAATTAAAACCTGTCCAGAAAATGAATGTTTGAGGTGTCCTTAAGCAGCACTATCCCAAATGCTGACAAAACCCCTGAAAAATCAGGAGGGTTTGAACAGCATGCTAATCTTTTTGATAGCCTCATTTCTAAAACTCTTGTGAGATGTTAAAGAGACTGCTGGGATGGAAGCAGAACCAAGACTGATAAAGCCTGGATACTGTTCCCCACTGCCATTTGTGAGCTTGGACAAGATATTTACTGCATCTGTGCCTCAGTTTCTTCTCTTGAAAGTAGGGTTAAATGTTAAAAAAGTCCATAAGCATGAAAATGACTACAGGGCTGCACTTTATACTGCAGGACTCTGATAGTAGGTTAAGATCACCATATCAAAGCTAGGCAGTCAGTATGGGTAATGCTCTTCACATATTTTAATATTTTTTCCTTGTCCAGAGATGATTGAATTTTTTCAGCGCATACCAGGCTTTCTCATGCTGTTCAGCTGACACTGTTTGCAGTGCTTGGGTGAAAAGACACCTTCTCTAGGCATTTGTAAAAGAAATTATATAAGGTGTGTTGCTAGACCTCAGATGGAAGCCTAAGCACCTTGGTTAGCAGGAAGTGCCCTCTACAAACTCCCTGTGCAGCTTGTAAAGTTGTATTCCCTTTCCCACTTTCGACTTTATCCTCAGCAATAGCTGTGTACTGTAAGTAGGCCTTATCTGCAGTCCCCTGCATGAAGGAAGCTCACATGTTGACCTTGGTGACAGGATCTTTGTTGTTCACGATGCAAAGGGTATAACTTAGAACAGGTGGGGTATGCCCACACTGCCTTGTGGGAGTACAAATCTAGAGACATGCTCTCCACCCAAAGTGCAGGTGAAGATAATTTTCTTTGGTCTGCAACTTTTCACGTGGACATAGGCAAAGCAATCTGACCACTATCTGAGACAGCTGGGAAGTCCTTTGGTATCAAGCTCCCCAGCATTCCTTCTTTTTGAAGTTAAGCATAAAACTGTTACAATTTCAAGGCACTTAGTAATCCCTAGATAAACAGAGGTAGAAAGGTGGGAGCTCATTTATAGATCTTCTTGCTGCACTTCCACCTTTCTAGAAGCACCATACGGTATGCTGCTAGGGAGAAGGCTCTGCATTAGGTCTGTCTGCCTGATGAGGGAAGCAGGATCCAGCTGCAGGATCACCATCTGCGACCTTCAGGGCCCAGCACGATCCTCAAGGCTGCAGCTCCTTCCTGCTATCTCTGCTAACGTGACGGGAAAAAACAGGAGAAGAATAAGGACACTCTTGGTATGCGCTATCCCAGACAGTTTCAAATGAGCACTGTGCTTTAAAAAACCATGTTTTATTATTTAAATAAAAGCAACATGGCTCTTCCTTGCCTCATGAAGATGCAGGGCATACAGAACAGCTGCATATGCAACTGCTGTTTAATTCAATACCCAGACAGTGTCATTAAACATATTTTCTGGTAGAGCAAAATTACTTCAATAGGAAATTGTATTTGTCTCACTCGTGAAAATGCAACTTAGAATATTATTATGGATGTTGCTTCTTTTTTTTGTAGGTGTTAGCGTGGCTATATAATTAAGGATCTGTCATTATTTTCATTAAAGTATTTTCATTTTTCAGGATGTGTAAGTTAGCCTTAAAAAAGAAAGCTTAATGGTTGAGTCTCCTTCTCACAAGCCAAACAGCAGTGTAGCTACATAGCTACCTAAAAAATGAAAAAGAAAGGAAAAAAAGATTATGTTTCTAGGTTCTCGAAATCACCAGGGCAACACTGACTGAAGGTGCAGAACGACCTAAGTATATATTCTACTACATATATGGGATTAACGAACATTTTTCCAGATGAGTAACTGCTAAATTGGTAAATCTCTGTATTAACATATGAACAGATTGCTGCAAATGTAAGCAATAATTTGAGTAGTTGTGCCAGATTGCTGCTGCTTAACTGGTAGCTTTAGCTATCCCCCTGTTTAGGAGGTAATCATGACTTCGGGGTTTATTAGAGCAAAATGACACGGTTTTGTATCCAGCTTTGCTCGGTGCCTTCTCGCAGCACAGGGCAGCTGTGGTTCTCCAGACAAATCCTCCTTTCCCCTGCGCTCATAAGGGGAAGCTCCAAGCTGGAGCTTGGATCCCACACGGGGCAGCGCCCCGTCCCTCTTTTCGGCCTTGCTTTCAGTGTCTGGGTGCAATATCCACGCCTCCCCACGATTTTCAGGGATGTGGGAGGACAAGGGAGCCCTCCAGGCCGGCCGGGCGGGGCCGAGCTGTCCCCACGGCAACGGCGCCTTAAAGGCGGGCGGGGCGGGCGGCGGCGCTGCCGCGGCCATGGATCCCGGCAGCGCCGTGGTGAGGGGCTGCGCTCGGCGGGGCTGGCCGCCTCTCTCCCTTTTTGCCCTTGTTGTTGTTGAAAATGACACGCCGTGGGCAGTGTGGGCGGAAGGGTCGTGTCCGGGGTTGGCGTGGGGCGCTGGGGAGCTCCAGCGAGGCGCTGTGCGAGCTCAGCAGTGCCAGGCAGGGAAGCGGCGGCTTTTACCCCGCCCCGGGTTTTTCGACTGCTCCTGCCTCTCCGTTCTTGGGGCTTCAGGTGGTCCCTCAGGGGACGGTAATCCCAGCGGAGCCTTGGAGGCTTCGCGTTTAGACTCACTTCGGGCTTTGCCGGAATGGAGGGGTCGATAAGCCCTTCCTGCCGCCCCAAAGTATACAAAGAAAACTGGAGTTTGACAGTTCCCGATATGGATGGCCTGGTTCTGGCGAAAGAGTGCCTGTGTGTGAAGGGATAAAGCTGGAGTACAACAATGTCTGCACTGTAACCATTTTTCTCTAATTTGGAAGCGTGTGGTGGTTGAATTTTACAGTCGCTCTGTTCAGTTTTTATGTAGCATAATAAATATTTGTACTCACTCTAGCTTGGCAATCCTGGGGAGAGGAATAGGCCCGCTGAAGGATTTACGTTCAGTTTCTCTTCTGGATTAACACTGAAGGCAGAGCATTTGACATATGGGCTGATCAACAGCTTTTAGAGCAGTGGTACTAGAGCAAACTTTTTTTTCTTCCTCATCTTCCTACTATCCTGAAATGTGGTGGAGAATTTTTGGAGATCACTAACCCCAGATAAAAAATGATACACGAGTGTGGTTATTTTAAAGTAGTGCTATATTGTGTTGATTGCTTTTTGCAAAAAGTGTAATGTACTACTTAATAACTTCTATTAAAAAAATTTCTATCATTTGCACTTTAGAATAACTTTAGAGCAGTAAAATATTAATTTCATGGTAAAAAAAATAGAAAATTAATAACCCAGAATCTTCTGTTTCCTAAAATATCTTAGCTTCATCTTTCACCTTGTGTAGGCTATTCTGGCGGTGATGATAATCAAGATTAATAAGGTTTAAATTGCTACAAGCTAATTATCTTATATTGGAGCGTATGAATGTTGAAGCTCATGTGTGTCCGCTGTCCAGGTCTAACTGGAACATTAGGATTTAATCACTTCCATAGGCAGAAGAAGGAATAAAATGTTCTGTTAAAGTCCTATTGTAATATAAGATGAATGATATGTATTGATAATGATAATTTTAAAATTTCCTTAGCTAATCCACTATACAGCATCAGACTGTTTCCACAAAGAAAGCATAAATAAATCTCCATTATTTTTTGCAGGTTCCTTACATTCTGTTTCTGATGGAATAGGTACATCTCATTTTTAGTAGCTTGTCTCGTTGGTTGGCCTTTAAGTTAGGGGCAATGATTATAGAATAATACAAAGTGGCTGACATGCTTGTTTGAAAATAAGCACAGCAATTGTTTTTGTAATGTTTCTAGGATTTTCTTAAACATTTCTGTAGCCTAACCAATAATTTGAGGCTCAAATCCAGTATTTTTCGAAGGATGTCAGATTTAGTGAGTGGAATTGCAGATCTTCGTGTCTGACATTCAGTTTATTAAACTGATCTGTTCTTACTGTTCAGTTCGTAACAATAGTTTATGTAGTGAGATTAGATTTTGTGCTATCTTTTCAAATGACTTAATGCTCATCTTAACTTGAAAATATATATTTTTTTTTTTTTATCTAGTCTATGCTATACAAGTCCATTATCGAAGATGTGATTGAAGGTGTGAGGGAACTTTTTGCAGAAGAGGGTGTAGAGGAACAGGTTCTGAAAGACTTGAAACAGGTTTGTTTGGTTCCCTTGTGTTAATAGCAGCTGTTGGGTTTTTTTGGTCGTTGTTTGAGAAGATGCACCTGTTCATTTCTTTGCCTTCCAAAAAATTTACCTTAAATTAGAGTTACAAGTATCCTGTGAGTGATATGTTGGTGGCAGGCAGTCGAAATCCATTAGTGATTGTTACCATGTTTATTGGATAGAATCAGTCAATTTACTCTTGGAAAAACTGGGAATACTTTATTAGCTTTTTAGATGTGGTTTGTTTTTAAAGCTGATATTTGTTGACCTTAATAATAATCTTTCTGCAGCTTTGGGAAACCAAGGTGACAGAGTCTAAAGCAACAGAAGGCTTCTTCAGGCATGGCCACTGTTCTCCACAGTTCACCCTGCAGCTGCCACACAGTTTTCACACTGTTCTGCAGGCTTCAGCAGGTCAGGTGTTGGACACAACAGAAGCAATTTAAGAATAGCTCTGTGATTCAGGGATATTTTTGGAAGACTTGCAATAATCTTGGTTCATGATTCTTCTGTATATAGCACAAGGGGGAACAGTAACTATTTGAAAGCAGAATTTGACCAATAAAGGATGAATTAAACTTTGATAAACTAATGGAATTCTCTCTATATGCTCTTGATTGGCTGCCTATTTCCAGTAGCAAAAACATGCAGAGAATTTTAGTGTTCTTGTCTGCAGTCCAAAAGTGTAGCCCTTCAGTTTCAACTTTACCTGTAGGGTTAAGCTTTTGCTTCCCTGTTTTATTATGCGTATTCCTGATGTGTGCAGAGGTTATATGGCACGTTTGTACCACCCAGCTCTGCTGTCATGTTGGAGTTTAATCTGATTTTCAAGTTGCTGAGATGTAATCTCTTGCTCAAACAAAAGAGAGGGAGCTTTTTTTTTTTCTTCAGTTAGTTTTTCTAAAAGCAGTGCTCCTGTTGCAGAGAAGTGCTTGACTTTCACACAGCCTCTGACATCAGGACCTATTCTTCTCAATTAAGTCCAACTGACTGCTGAGGTATTGTTGTGGTGGAGTGTAATGCTCAGCTGAGACTTACCACAAAGTGTGAGGCCATTAGGACCTTTGCCCGTAACAGACAAAACCCATATGGGATGATTTAATGAAAATCTGTGTTGTAGTGCACTTCGAGGTTGGGCAGGCACTCTTCCTCTGGGTTTTTTTTTACAGTCTTCATAGTTGAATGAATTGTTTTTGGAGGCAGATGTTTTATTTATTCTATGTGATGAAAGGGAATAAATTTTTGGGTTTGCATGCTACTGGAGGTCTTATATTTCATGAGCATTACCTTGTCACTCCTAAGATTTTAGTGACAATACTAAGGCAAAACAATCTGTTGAAGCTAGTGAATCTATTTATTTTTGTAAATGGGATTTGAATTGCCTTATGGCCAGAGATCCAGAGATTTTCAAAGTATTCAGGGCTACCTAAATTGTTTGCTTCCTGAAGCCTGGGAAAGTTTTCCCTTTGGCTTTTTTTTTTTTTCTTCCACTGAAGTCAGTGTTAAGTGCTTTTGAAAATCTTATCCTACTGTTCCTACCATAAGCACAATTTGATTTGCTGTGGTGCAGAAAAGTGCTTGCATGTTTTCGTCATGTTGACAAGGCAATGCTCGTGCTCACTTGGTCGTTGATCTAATGAGTATGAACTGAAGTTAGATTGCTTTAGATTCAGGTGTGCTTAGTGAAAATTATTGAAAGATAAATGTGTCCAAGAAATGAATGTTTTTGTAAAGTAGTGTTTTGGTTTTGTTTGTTTGTTTGTTTTTATAGCTTCTTTTGTCATCCCAGCTGGCAGAGATTTTCAGCATTTCACAGCTGCAGAACTGGTATGTAGCTGTAGTTACATTACATGGATGCAATTAAATTACATATAATGTAGTTAAATTCTTAAATTTCTTAGTTTCTGAAATAAAACAGGATTTTAATTTATTTATTGTTTTAAATCTAGTATGTAATTAAATTATTGAACTTACTGTTACAGCTGTAGTGATATTTTACTTCAGTTTTGAATATCCTGAACTCCTAAAGAGTTGTTTGTCAGTTATTAATAGGCTTAAAGGGGGGGAACTGTAACACTGCTGTGTAACTATTTGAGCAGTGAAAAAGGATAGGGATCTACCAGCTGGTTTTGCAGCCAGTGCAGCCAGAGGTGTATTGGAAGACATGGCTGCATGTGTTTAGCCCACAGGATGGAAGTGTAGTGGAAATGCACAGCTATGGATACTTTAAAAAAATTAAATTACTGGGTGTTAAAATAATGCATGGTTGGGAAATATTAGCACTAGTGAAGCTGGGAGCAGCATTATCTGGGAGGTGTAGGAGTCATCCAGAAGCAAATGGATGCTTTTAGAGTTGACAAGTTCTGAACTCTGGGCATGGCAAAATTTCTTGGAGGAGGGGCTACTGATTGTCAGAGCTTGATGAATGAACTCACTGAGCACCTCCTGACAGTCAAGCTAATTAGCGTGCAAAGTTGATTATAATATTGGGAAGATGTTTCTGCTGTGTGTGAGTTTCTTGATTTAAAACTTGGATTTCCCTGAAGCAGCTAGTTTGAAAGGGAGCCACATATCCAACTCTTGGAGGAGTTCAAGGGGGAAAAGAGAATGTGAAATGACTTCATAGGCCTGGGAAAGGAGTCTGTGCATGAACTTAGGGAAAGGTGACCCTGAGTGGATAAATACCTTTTGGGATGGTGGGTACATTGAAGTGGTATGGGAAAGTGTTCAGTTAACAAAAAGGGAACGTGATAGCTGGGAAGGAGAAAATGCTTAGGGTAAGTCATTACCCTGTTAATGCAGAATACTCTTCATCTGTCTGAATCTCAAAAGCATGAAGCAACTTTGCAGTAAAGAGGACCCCAGAAAGGTCCTCACTAGTGTTCTATATGGATGTGTTAGGTGGGGCAGTCAGGGCCCCGGGGGGATGAAGTGTGCACTCTTTCTTACTAAAGCCAGCTCTTGCGTATCCAGGGGCCCTCACAAGCAGGGACAACTCTTACTCTCCCTTCGGCTGTTGCTTATCCCATACACCTGCCAGCTGGAGTGACACTGCAGGCAGCACCAGGTAAGGTTAGAGAGGACATGTAATATGTTACGGTGCTCTGTGGATATTGAAAGGTAGTCTCAAGTGCAGTAGATAAAACAGATGTGAAGTTAAAATAAAGGGGGGTGGAGTCAGTTACCCTTCTTTTCCTTTGTGTCCATGATTGCTGCATGGAGGAAGTAATTGCATTGATTAGTTAGTGTGTCAGTTTTGTACACTTGCAAGATCAAGAAGGTATCTCCTTCTCTTATATAAGGGACAATCTTCCATGTTTTAAAAAGGTAAAGACACTCCAGTGGTTCAGAAACAAATTGGTTTCTTATTCAAATAAAATAAAATCAAGCATTAACCTTTTTGCTCACATTCATTTGCTGATGAAATTGCCTATGCTGCTTGTACAAAAATGTGCTTCTGCTGCTTAGGTGTGATCAGTGGAAGGCTTATTTCAGTCATTAAATCTTTCCTCAAACAGCTGTTCTTCGTGAACTAATGTCACTAGTTATCTATTTCAGGTATAATTCCTGAGGTTTTGAGACCTATAGATTGGTACCAGTGGCTGTGTGTGTGTGTGTGTGTGAACTTGTGTGTGTGTGTGGAGAAGAAAAATCAAATGGAATTTAGAACTCAGCTCTGGCATTGTAGTTCTAACTCTGATAATAATAACTTTAAGGATTCAGTATTTGGTTTTCAAACAATGAGAAGATATAGAATATAGGAGTGGTTTTTTTTTTAAATTTGTTTGGTTTTGTTTTGTTTTTTGTTTTAAACTAAACTGGACAATTTTTTTAGAGGGGGTACCTAAAGGTCCTGAACTTTCCCTGTAGATATAAAATAGTTTATTGTTTCATCTTGAATTTCTTAATTTCTGAAATAACGTAGAAAAACATTCAAAACAGTATTTGTATTTATTTATTGTTTCAAATTTAGTATGTAGTTAAGTTATTGAACTTACTGTTACAGGGTATTGTGTAGGCCAAGACTAAAAAATGGGTATAAAACATGATGGACTGGATGGAAGCCATGATCCAGAAAGCTTCTGAATGCTTAATTTTCAAGGGCTGAAATTGTGCTTGAGGAAAGTTTTACTTTGTAAACATCCCTTTTCTCATAGTTTACCTGAGTGTTTGCTATTGGTTTTTAGTGATCAGTGGCCTGGATGAACCTGTAGGTTAACTTGCTGAAGCAGGTTTTAACTCTTCTCTCTGTAGGGCAACTTTATAAAGTAAATGTGCCTGTGATGGTTACACAAGCCTCAGGAGACAGCAGCATTCTACACCCTCCTGTGCAGCAGATAATTCATCCCCTTGGGCAACCTTCAGTTCTACAAGCCAGCATTGCTAGTGTTGCACAGGTGAATGCACCTTCTTTCCAGGCAGCTGGTGAAACATCGCAACCCCAGGAGGCTGCTGTCCAACAGACTATAGTGTTTAAACCAAACATTGTGGAAAAAAAAGCCCTGGGGAACTCTGCTACATTGGTCCAGCAGCCTCCTGCGAGTCAGCAGGAACTTGCAACTAATGCGGTGTTGAATCAGTGTGCAGACTCCACAGAAAACTCCCAGCACGACAATCTTCACACAGCTGTGTTTACTCCAGAATCCTCTGTAGGACTTTTTCTCGATGAATCCTTGGCAAACAACTCGAGCAGTGTACTGCTGGATGTGGAGGGGCAGTTGGACATGGAGCCTCCGGAGCTGGTGCAGCAGCAGGTGTCTGATGATATCATTGACCTGATTATAGCGAGTGAAAGTTTGGATGACACCGCATTCCTGAACGGTCAGGGCAGCATTGCTTCCTCTGACAAGGTAATGCCTCTTGTTTCTCAGCTGGTGAAAATACAGCTGTTGGAGATGGTGGTTTGAACACATCCATAAATGACAAATAGCACCTCTAAATTGTAAGAGTAAAAATTATTTTCACTGTAAAATTCTTTCTTGAGCTTGTTTAGAAGAACAGTAGCTAACTGCTTATTTTTACACTAAGAGGTTGTCAAAAATACTGCTAAAATACTGTGGTGGATTAGAATGTCAATCTAAAAATCTGAAGTGTAATGGATAATGGATAGATATAATGTATTAGACTTCTTGATTACTTTTGGGGATCTTTTTTTCTTTTTTTTTTTTTTTTTTTTTTGACTAAACAGACATGAATGACCCCTTGAGAAGTTCCATATCGTTTTGACACTGATCAGCATATGGATACTGGTCAGCTGTGGGCAAAGTGCTTTTGCAGTATCAATTAGGATTAGTTTGAGCTCATAACGTATGAAGAGCATTTAAGTTGCATTGAGGATGAAAAATCAGATTTGATAAGTGAAAATCTGCTGGAAGAAAATGTATTTCCTTGGGAAAAAGTCCTGAAGAACTAGAACTCAGCTACAGCTGTGTGGAAAACTTGAATGACTTTTATTAACAAGCCACTTTCCTGACCTCATCCAATTTTTGTTCCAGAAATTATTTGCAGATGTTTGAAGTTCTGGCTAGCTGACTTTGAGTTGTAGTCCTTATGTGTGATTGGGGCAAATTTATTAAATGCAAATTTAATGACAGTAATGCCAAATGTCTGAAAATAGAAAGCATGTTATGTTGCTCATCTGAACTTTGATGGCAGGATGATGAAGACTGTCCACAGTAAGAATGGAAGGTCAAAGCAAAGTGTTATTTTGTTGAACTACAAAGTGTTTGTGGATGGGAATTAAGTGCTACACTAAAGATTTAATGAGAAACTGAAGATGGCCAAAACCTTAAAACCTTTTTATGTGAATGCTCTGTTTAGGAATTCTAGCACTTTTATGAACAGTGGCTTGAAGTAGTGAAATGTTTACTGTTTCTCCCAGCTTTTTATATCTTATTTAAACAAAGCATTTTGATTGAGTTGAAGGAGAGGAATCTGTTCATCTTGACTTTTACTTAACAAATGGAAAATGCTATTTTTGGGGGCAGAGGAGTAGCTTTTTATTATTATTATTATTTGGAGGTTTTTTTGCAATAGAATTACTAAAGGCCCACTTAATTGCCTTTTTCTTAGAGTTTGAGTACAAGAGTGTTTAAAGAAAAGTCAAAGAATTCTTTTTCTCTGTATTGGTGAGAAATATTTGACATGGGTTTAATGTAAGGTTAGATGTAATCCCAGTACTCAGGGTTTACAAGTAGTAGGACTTGAAATTCTCATTTTAGTGCCCCAAACATGCTAGTTTATGAACTCAAATCTCAGGCTTTGTACTGAAGATAGCTTTCATTGTGGTGTTAATTCACAAACTGTCTCTTTTATTCCTGTCACATGGAACCTTCTGAGCAGATGGGATGTAACTTCCGGTCGGAGAAGGATAACTGCAACAACATTGAAGGCATAATCCAGCTGGATGGTACTGGTGATGTTTCTTCCAAGGAAGAAATAGCACATACAAAAGATAAGGAAGAGAATGAATTAATTGGAATTATTGAATCAGAAGATCTAAAAGTTCTGGATGATGAGGAAGACTATGATGAAGAATGTGACAGCACTTCAAATATGGAGTCTAGCTGCAGTGGTGGTGATAATGAAGACCTCCAAATAGATATAGTTGAGGAGGTAATTTACTTTTTAGCCTTGTGAAGCACATAACAATAGTCGGTGTATCTTGACTTGAATTGTTGGACCTAGAACAATTCCTGGTTAGTTTAATGCAGAGGATGCACAGTGAAGTTACATGCCTCTGGAGACAGGAGGTACTGCTGAGAAATTACTGAAAGCTCATTATGAAGAGTGTGGACAAATGAAAGAAATGCTGAAAAGTCATTTGTTTATTGGATTAATTAAAATACTAAATTAACAGAATTAAAGATCTATTGTAAAACCCTGGCCTCAGTGGAGTGGAGTTCTGCTTTTTATGTAAATAAGGTATAATTAAAAAATTTAGATTTTAAATAAGATATATTTAAATAAGACCAGGATACAAATCTAGATTTCCATTCCTTCTAAAGGACCACAGGGGATTAGACAGGTAACAATATGATATGAGTACATATGTTTCCTAGGTTGTCCTTTTTCTTAAAGGTGTGCAATTTTGTATCCTGGAGATTTCTTCACAAGAGAATCAACTTGTAGCATTTGGACTTCAAATAAATACAAGTTGATCAGTGTTCCAGTTACTGGGATCAATCTATCAGTCTTGCTTTCTGACCTGTGTTTTTGTTTAGGGTGTTCTTGTTTTTGAGAATGCAAGGCATTTATAAATGAAGTTTGTGCACCATGGTCTTCACAGCCTCTAGGTCTTGATTTTTTTTTCCCAATGAAAAAAGAACCCTTACTGTTCTAGGTGTGTTTGATGCCAAGTCTATTCAATGCTATTCTGAAAGAGTGTATAAAATAGAATTTTAATTTCTAGGACCCCTTAAACTCTGGTGATGATGTCAGTGAACAGGACATTCCAGACTTATTTGACACCGACAATGTGATAGTTTGTCAGTATGACAAGGTACAGTATATATTTTTTCTTTGTTCCTTAATTGTTCCAAATAATATCTTCAGCAAATCCATGTCTGTTCTACTGTCAATGCCTTTTAAAGAAAATCTAACGCTGTAATAATCGAGTGTTTAAATTGTGTCTGGCTGACAATAGTCTGAAAACTTTCCTGCTGTTTTCTGAAATGAGGATAATCAGAATGGCCTATTAAAGGAAAAGAGAACAAGTCTTGCAAAATTAAAATGTGTAAAGCTGCAAAAACTTATGCATTTCCTTAACTTTTAAGTAATAGCAACATCTCCATGGATGTACACAGGCATATTCAGCCATGAATTAAGATTTTGAAATGGATAACAGAAAGAGAAGTATGTGAACTTTAACATTTTTGTCTTTGAAGTGCTTACTGGGAGACTTTCCTACCAGAATTCTGTTGTGGCTGAGAAACAAAGTGGTTGTCAAGGGCCATTTTGTCCTTCATTTTAGTGTTTAAAATTCAACCTTGTTTTGAACTTCCAAAGATTAGATTAAGTACTAACTCTGGTATGGTTTTGGATGTTTATGTGTCAGTAATTTAAAAGATAACAAAACAAAGTGCATATTTTATTTTAAAACAAACATGGAACAATATAGCTATAGTTTGCTTGAGAATGTGCCTTGAGTTTTATTCTTTCAAAAGTGAAGAGTGACCAGGCATAGCGAAAAGCAGATAAAACCAGTTTTCTATTAAGTTACCTTGCTACCTATAAAAGAATGCTGTTGGCAAAATTGCTGTCCTGTTTCTTTTTCTTTTTAGAGGTGAAACTAGGCTGCTGAAAATCCAAGGAATTTTCCAGAGTTGTTTAAAATTCCTTCTTTTACTATCAAACAAAGCTTTCTGCAGTATGGATTATTTTACAACCTTTAAAAAGAAACAGAATATAAGTTTTGTTTTTGTAATTTTTTTGTGTTTTTTTTTCTTTATTTTTTTCTTACGGCAGCATTTGCTCTTAAGCAAAGTTTTCATACTTTTAGCCTTATTCTTACGCTGCTGTGCATGCAACATTGCCATGTGTGTGGAAAAAGGAAAACACTGCATTTCAGTTAAGCTGTACTTGTTTGAAAGGTGCAGTTTGTTTTGGGGCAGACTGATCTCTCATGAAATTTCTCCATTACAGTTGTCTTGTCCTGCTGGTGTTAAACTGTCACATAGCTAACATTTTTTTGGGAGGGTGGGGAAGCAGTGTGGGAGAAGGTGTGCTAAGATTCATGAGGCTGCTCTCTTGAGAGGGCAGGGAATTCACTATAGACAAATGAAATATACTGCTTCCATTGAATATTTTGGGCTATCAGGATTTTAAAATAAAAATAGGGTGTGTAAACCAGGTTGTGCTAATTTTTTTTTTTTAAATGGATGATCTAATATATATTTGTGGGGCATTGATTTTGATTTTTTATCAGATACATCGAACTAAGAACAAATGGAAGTTCTTCTTAAAAGACGGAGTGATGTCCTTTGAGGGTAAAGACCATGTTTTTGCAAAAGCCATTGGAGATGCTGAGTGGTGAAACCTCACTGAAGCATGTACTTTCAGACTGTGGCATTATTCCCTTAGGAACCTTCTGTTGTGAAACAACTGGAGTTTCTACAGAGTTTGCCATAAAGCAACAAAGCTATGATTAAAAAATATGCAAAATCTTTGTTGTTAATACATGCTCACTAAAACACTGTATTGTTAGCTACTCAGCTGTCTTTGTTGTTCTTTTCTGACTATTTCATCACTTTTCCAACCAAGAAACATCAATAGAATGATTAGCTTTAAAGTTTGAAATGTTGTATATGTTAGTGTTTCTTTACTTTCTTGAATTACAAAGTAAATTTTAGTTCTGTTGGGTTTTTTTCAACTTCTTAAGAGCTAAAGTATGACTTGAAATATAAAACTATGCAGTTGTTGTTGATACTGTGTATTTCTTTTCAAAGACTGCTGAGTAAAAAAAAAAAAGGAAAGGCACATCTGTGCAAGTCTGAAACCTCTTGTCTTTCCTTCCTCTCTTGCTTCTTTTGTTGCTTTTTTTTGTGTTTTTTTGATGTCAGTTTAAAGGCAGGCACTTTAGATCTAAGAAAGGGAAATGTGGGTGGAAGATCGTGGAGCTCTCAATATATGAGAATTACTATTGCTTATACTATACCATCTATGTCTACTGAGATGCGATGAATAGTGTGATGTAACACGAAAATGTGATTTATTTTCATTGTCAATGGAAAATCATTTAAGTTTGCTACTGTACACATCCACTTCATTCCAGGACTACAGACCAGTAAGCTGTGAATGATACAAATTGGGCATAATAATAAAATGTCATGTCGTATACATTTCTAGCAGAGAGTTGTTTTTGTGTTCCCTAAATATAAACTTTGGTTAGCGAAACGTCTACAAGCCATGCTTTTGGCAGTAGCTCACTCTGCCATGAGAACTGCATTCACACCAGTCCTCAGCATTGATTTTTGTTAGTTTGTCTAGAAACAGAGGTTGAGAAGAGGTTCTGGGTCCTAGCCCTTCAGAGCTGCAGCTTTTCCCTGACTAGTTCCTGTTCCTTGTAGGGCAATATTGGGAACTAAGTGGTAAAGCCTCAGCCAGCCTGACTCAGAACAGGATAATCCTGCTGGAAGGGCAGTACCATATGGCACCCCTCCCTCCTGGCTGCTCCTCCCATGTCTGCTGAGAGAAGACCTTGTGAGACATTTCAGCTATCTCTACTCCCTGAGAGGATGCAGAGGCTTTGAGAAGGGAAGGAAAAGAAATGGGAGAGTTGGAGAGAGTGAATATATAGGAAACATGAGGGAGAAAAAACCCAGCCCTTATTCATAATGGTGCTGACCCTTGTGCTGATGGCATAAAGAGAAGATAACGCTTTCCTTAGGAGGTAGGTTTTAAACAACTATTTATTCCATGCTTTTGCTGACATACCTGCTGCTCTCCAGTATCAAAGACAGGACACTGAACTAGAGCACCTGATCTGAGTGTGGCATTTCTTTTGTCTTTTATAGATAGTGCTGCTGGGATGTGAGGAATGTGTATTCAGAGACAGTTAAAATATTACAGTGTGTGATTTCTTCTTCCTCATTCAGATGACTTGTAGCTGCACTGGTGCTATGCTTCAGATCAATAAATGCACAGGAAATGCAGCTCTTACCACATGATAGATGCTTTTAGATTTCAGCACTCCCTCACAGGTGTTCATGCTCTATAAATGTGCCCATTATGAACTGTGGGACCATTTTCAACTTCATAAAAGAATGGAAGCAGAGGTAGTGTGGCACAGGAATCCATGGGACAGGGCCAGATATGCACCATTCACTAAACACCACTCAGTCTCTGAATGTTGCTTCTGAATTTGACCTGTTTTTATTAGTCACTATAAAATAAAGTGGCTAAAGAGTACTTAATTTGTAGCTGGTTTTTAAGATGAGCAGCTTTTTTTTTTTTTTGGTTGCATCTTGTGGTGTTAAAAGACTGCCTCTATATGAAGGTGAGGAGTCCATGCTCTAAGCTTTGTTGTAACTGCCTATCCCTGTCCCTTTTCAAAACCTGTTCCTCTGTGAATGGATGCTGAGATGTGTGGGATAAAGGTATTACAGTAGAAATTCTTACCCCATCTCCTCTTAGCCTCACCAATTCATATATCCCATGCCTTCTGCCTGTTAGCTGCATCTGCCTTTTTTGTTCCCTTCTTGAAATGCTTCTTATGCTTTGAAGTTTTGCAACATGTTTTTTATGATAGCTTGCTGCAACCTCTGTGCAGTCCAGGCATGATATTGGCTATATAGGCTGCACATCAGGGATTGGAACTATTTTTTAAACACCACAATTGTACTTCCCAAGCCTCTCGTAAGTTTTATGGGTTGGGCATTGGTGATATTTTGCATCCTCTTTTGCCTTTTCATAAATCATGTGTAATGTCGGCAATTAAAATCTCAAAGAAGGACTGTTTGTCACCTTTCCTCATGCAGCTTTGCTGGCAGTATGCACAGCTGGTCAAGGCTGACCTACCTCAAAACGGATGCTGAAGATGACTTAGCTACGTCATCAAGCATTTCCCAGGTTTTTTTTTAATCACAGTTTCTAACCCAGTACCTTCTCAATATGAAGGAACTTTAACGTGGGCTCCATCCAGTGCCTTCCTGAGCATATATAGAAGCTTTAAAGGTTAGAATAGGGTTTTGCTCTCACTGTCACAACCCTTATATTTGAGAAAATGGCTACTGAATTCATAACACTGCAAATATTCCTCGGGAGTGCTTGCAATGGGTTTCTCAGTCCAGAGCTATAAAATGTCTATCTGGACTCCTGCAGTACGACTGACTTTCATTTTCTTATGTCTAAGCATACAAGAATTCCCCTGCATTTTGCCTCCAGTGTTCTTGAATGAACATTGGTGAAGAACTACAGCTTGGAATAAGACCTTTACAACTATACATAACTGAAGTCAGGAATTTTTATACTGAAAAAAAATTTCTTATTAAAATGTAAGCTCATGTAGCTTCTTTCTGTAGCCTGTGACTTGAGTAGTAATCAGTGCTTTTGATCTGAATAGCTTATGAATTAACGTTTTTGATTGCTCCTACTTACAGTTTAGCAAACATATTGCTGCAGATGTGACAGGATGAGATACTTCAGTAAATGGCTGTCTAAAACTTTACACCAGAAAGAAGGTAAGTTTACAAAAAATAAGGAGACAGAATAAAAAGTGTAACTTGTATGAGAAACTCTAACATGAATCTAAATCTCTTATTAAAGTGTTGCTTTTACTTATTTGTTTACTTTTGTGTGTAGGAAGATTTTAAGTATATAAATTACTTTTGTTGTTTGTCTGTGGGTTTTATTTTTATTTTTTTTCCTTAAATCATAATTTTGTAAGAGGTGGATTTCACTCAACTTACAGCAGGCACAGAAAGAAAAATGCCCACTGCTTTGCTGTTACCCACCCTACAGTGCTGTGTCACAATCAGTTGTCACTAATTCCAACTCATTTCTCTTCTATGTAGTTTTCTGACAATGTTATGTGGTAGGGAGGGTGTGCTTGCAAGCTCATGTCCTGTTGAAACATAATGCAAGTAAATCATTTATTGCCCACTCAAGACATTGTTTTCTCAGGTCCTAAACAGTTTGCAGGACTCTTCCATGGGATATTGGAAGAAAAAAGTCTCAAACATCAATTTTGAGACAGGTGACAGAGACTCTATAGGCCAGGCAGCTTTTTTTTTTTTTTCATCTTTGTCTTTAGTTTGTATTATAGCTAAATATCCTTTTGTAGTCCTGTTTGCTTAGGAGCTGGTGTGCATAAAGCAGTGCATCATATGGAATTTTTACTGGTTGCTAAACCTGAGAGTTTTAACAGTCTCCTCTGTTCTCAAACCTGCTTTTTTGTTCCCCACCTGTGCAAAGTACTTGGGAGTACAGCTGTGCTTACATACAGGGCTTTTGAGGTGATTAAAATAATGGCACTAAGCTGAAGGTAAGAGTGGGTCAGAAATGTTATTGCTGATTATTACAATTATGAACTAATGATAGACCAGTCACTAGTACAAAGAATTGCTTTCATTAATGTGAAGCAAATTTATCTTGCAGTGCAGTGTTGGGGCAACAACAGATGTGCTTTGGAATTCTATTGCTGCCACAGACTTGAAAGCAATGGACTCAGTTGAAAAGGATAACGTAAAAAGTTTGAAGTGATTTCATATGTATCAGAGTCTGCACTTTTGGTGACCATCAGTGTGCCTGTTCTGGAGGCAGCACAAACTTTAGGCAGCTGCACTGTTCTGCTCTCTTCAGGGTAGGTGAGTACTGTACCAGCTGAAGAACTGTCATCAGATACTGCGAGTATCATTTACAGAATGTGATCTAAGATGCTAAAACTGTAACTACAAGTCCATGTAAAATATATTTGCTTTACCTTCTGTGAATCATAAACTGTCACGTGGGTCTCATGCTACTGTACTGTTTAATGAAATGTAAGCACTCGTGTGTTCATCCCATCAGAGGCAATGGAAACAACCTGTCAAGAATAAACAACATAAGAAGAGGCTTGATCTGGAGACTGCAGTTTTTGGATCTTTTTGCTCACAGGACATGGTGAATTTTCTAGTAACTAAGCACCTCATTTTCAGTGTAGAACGTTAACCTTTTTAGGATGTGCCTGGGGCAGACGCCCCCCCCCCCCAGGAATTCTGCCTGGCAATCTGCAGCTTCTTGCCCAGTACAGATTGTTTGGCCCATACAATGCAGGTAAGAGCTCATACATATGAATCTTCAGCTTCAGTGCAGTGTGGTGTTGGCCCATGGTAAGTGAACTGCCTAAGGGTGACAGCTTATTCACTGATAACAGAGTAAATATGCTGCACTAACGAAGGAATGCTCAGTTCTTACTTAAACTAGGAATGTAACCACAAATCTGGATCAGGCATTTAGCATGATCACCTAGCATCAGGCAATGCTTGGTGAAAGAAAAGAGAGAGTTTAATGGGAAAAGACAGTCTCTAAAAAGTAACTACTCTGCTTCATCAGGTGGGAATGGAGTTGGACTGTAGGTGCTGAAGAGCCCTAGTGCATTCCTGAATGCCACTGGCACAGGTGATGTCAGAGAGTGGACGGATGAAAACGGTTCATGAGACTGCCCTGGAAAGAAAACAAAGCAGCACTTACTTGCCTATGCACGGGGCAGTTATCCTGCTGCTCAGAGAGAGCCTTTACAGCTTACCTGATCTGTGTGTGTGCACATACGATACCCAGAATAGAGTCCTGCATGCAGCAGGTGAGGTTTTATAGCTTTTGGATCTCCTGTG